ACTCCCTTTACAATAGTGTCTATTCAACAGTGAAATAATAAGTCTATGTTATCTGATTGATTTTGTTTTTACTTCAATGATTTGTTGTTTCTGTTATGACGTTAAGTTTTTACTTCAATATTATTTTATTGAAGATTTTGTTTTCTGATATTGAATGTTCCGTATCGTTACTTCATAATACTATTTTGCTAGCTCTACTAATTGTTCATAACTGTTAGTGCTAGCATGTTGATGATGTGATAGTATTGTCAATGGTTGATATTCCTAGTTGGCTTTCGATTTTGTAAAATCGTAGTGAAATTATACTTTAGCAATAGTGGTAGGAAGACAATTCCTTACAGCACCAAGGGGCCAGGCATGGTCAGTTGGTTAGGACGGTCGACTTGGGTATCGGGTTCGAATTCCATGTCACACCAAACATACTCACCCTTTCAGCCGTGGGGGCGTTATTATGTGACAGTTAATCCCAATATTCGTTGGTAAAAGAGTAGCCCAAGAGTTGGCGATGGGCGGTGAAGACTAGCTGCCTTCCCTCTAGTCTTTCACTGCTAATTTAGGGACGGCTAGCGCAGATAGCCTGGTGTAGCTTTGCGCGAAATTAAAAAACAAAACAAACATACAGCACCAAGGTTTTAAATCTAGATATGATCAGCTGCTCACTTGCAACTGTAAAACGACTGCCGTAGATGTACGTCTCAGCTGAACCGTGATTTGGGTCAGGATCGTGGGCGACTTTGGAAGTTCACGCACATTGAAGACCTTTTCTTCCCTCGTCGGGAGTCGGCCTCAGTGTGGATTTTGACATGCAGCAGGTGGATTAAAATAACTAATCTACTGAAGTATGTAGATTATTGTATTTAATTCACTCTATCCTTATCAAAACACACATTTAAGTCTATTCGAATTGAAGCATCACTTACGTTTGACCCATTCCATTGTTGACATTGGAAATCAACTATCCAGCTATGAAGCAAATCATATAATATCAAACATGTTAAAACAAAAACATCTTGTATTACGTGGTCGTAACGATCATACAGTTAACAACAATCACAGCAATTGTTTATTGAGGACATATATTTAATAGTATTTATATCCTGTTTGCTAAAGATATTGAACTCCTACATTAGATTGTTTTTATGTACATATTTCTTAAAGTAGGATATTGAGCAAATTAGGAGCCCTGATAACATGGGGAGGTTACTATAATTGCGTGGAAGTTGTCCTTAGAATTTTAAGCCAGAACATACGACAGAATGTTGAATTGTATTGAGTTTTCCTAGGTTAAATTTGATTATATTTAACCGTGCGAGGCACGCATGTTCAATGAGTGGTCTGGTGTAGGTTTTGTAAACGGATATAATATTTTAGGGGAATACGTCCGTTGTTGCCAGCTAAGCTTCTAATATAGTTAACCTTTTTTTTTTCCATTTCGGATTTTTAATAAAGTTGACATGCTCGGTCCATGATAACTTGACATCGTATGTGAGACCACGAAATTTTGCTGACGTGGCCACCTGGAGTAGAGATCTATATAAATATAGTTGTGGGGATTCTTTTAGGGGTTTTGACGATATTGAAAATCAAACTATTTTAGTTTTGAGAATTTTACTTTAATGTACTACTTGTTACACCATTTTTCTATTAAGCTTAAGAGGGATTGTAGGTTTATTGAAGCCAATTATGTATCTGGTGAACTCTTCCCAGTAGCCACATCGCCAGCAAACTGAGAAGCAATACATTGATTATTGCCAATCAATACCATAGTCCTGGCATACGTTATAACTAACACCTTCCTCTTGAGGGACACCTGCCTCTGGTAAAGAGTGCTCAGATTTAATACCTTCGACATTTATTTTGACTTTCCTGTCATCCGTGAAGTTGGAGAGCCATTGATAATGTCCTGCGGTATTCCAATTTCTGACACTTGAAATCTAAGGCCATTGTGATAAACATTACCAAAGTTTTTGGACTTCAAGACAGTAAGCCACTATATAGTATTTAATGTTAAAGCTTTGTTTGTTTGTTGTTAAGCATAAAGCTGCACAATGGGTTATCTGTGCTTTGCTCACCACGGATATTGAAACCTGTTTGTTTTTTTTAGGCGTTATAAGATTTTAAACTTACCAGTGAGTCACTGAGGGGAGGGGGCTTTGTTAAGACTGTTTATTATATTTTTGGTTGGTCTAACCAGGCGTCTGTTGTTTGTCCTAATTTTCTAAAACCGTTTTGTATTTCTTCTAATTTATTTGTAATTTCCAAAAATATCAGTAGATGATTAGTGATGATTTACTCAGTAACTTTTTTAAAACTATGGGCCTGTTAACTGCTAGGTGTATTCGCTGGCTTCCCCTATTTATGGAACGCTGTAACATTTGCTTGCTTCTAAGAATATGTTATATAACCTTAAATTAGGGATAGGTTCAAGGTGGTTATGAGATGTTCATAAAATTTAATTAAAATGCAGCACTCAAAACCTATATGAACACCTCATAGCTATTTATTTGGTGTAAAGCGCAGTTGTGAAGTTTATCATTTTGAATACACAGAACGTCGACATTATCAAAAATATAACGTCAGTACTACCATGTTCAACGTATAGAAGACGTCGGTTTTCGAGAGTTGATAAATGTATATGTTTATGTATCAAAGTGTCTCGTATTTTGATTCATGACTGACAATGATTATATTTAAATTATAATTTGATCCCTGGCAGTGAATATATTTATTTACCGAAGTGGATCGTATTTCGATCCCTGACAGTGAATATATTAACCAAAGTGGATCGTATTTC